TCACGTTGTACTTCTCGAAGACTCCATCTTCGTACCTGGACTGCCACGTTTCGGTGGCTGGCCGGTTTCCGTGCGAATGGACCACACACATTCTTTTCTCTCTCAGCATTTTTCAAGGTCTCAATGATCCATTCACATGACTCATACGAATCAAAAAAGCGCATGGTTTCACTTCAAGTGTTGCTGAAGGATATCTCATATGGTCCCCCCGACCCCCTGGAAAAGTAAGCGGCATGTGTCCATTGTCGCAAGTTCATCTGTCCCAGGGGACATCTTCACGGCGCAGTTCAGTGCTGTCTGGCCCCCGAAGGCTGCGAAGATCCCATCGGGCTTTTCTCGCTCGATGACTTTCACCACGAACTCCTCCAAGGAAAAGATGGTGGCTTCCCCAACTCGAGGTACCGAATGCGTTTAGACATTTAGACTAAGTTGTCACAAAAAAAATAAAAAAACGGTGGCCGTGGCATCCTTTACACAGCGGCTTTCGGGACACATGGTGGGACCCTGGGCTTTCGAGACCCGTCCGGTGTCACGGGGAGGAAGTAGACGCGATCCGCCATCCCGGCAGAAGTCTGGACGGTGGCGATGTTGGGGTTGATCAAGACCGACATCACACCAGCCTGCAGAGAACTGGGCGCAAACCCTAAGACGAGATGACGCGCCTTCCCACATTGAGCACCACAGATGTCGTCCGCCACTTGTATTCAACATCATGCTCATCTTGAAAACCATTCTGGGGACATGAGCACTTTTCGATACATGTATGGCCTGCACCCCTGACCGCCCCAACCCTCACATCTGGCCTCCCTCAAAGCCTTGATGGCCTGGCTGCCTGAGTAGTCGAACTCGCCGGCCTGACCAATCGTGAGACCACCAGAGCCCAAGACCAGCACCTGCCGGCGGAACGGTGCGTTCGGACGGGTGCCTCAGGTTGGCCGACGGGTCCATGGAATTACCTGCTTACTTGGGAAATCTTGGGAGCCTAATTCTCTGATCAGAACAGGTCAGAACAGGTCAAATCAGATCTGTGGCTGCAGGCGTGAATTTTTTGAACTCGGTACCCCTCTTCAACAGGCTCGTCCGTGGAATGGACATAAAATGGCCCGGCTCACTGGATCCCAGCAAAGCTCGATGGGACAACTGAGGCATCTCGTATTGAAGTATGTACAAGTATGTATACCGTATTGTCTCCCTTGTCTCAGGTCAACTTGACACCACTTGATGCACAAGGGCTTCAGTGGCTCCAATCTGACTTGAGAGCAAATGTCCTTTGCCAGGTCCGCTTTAGAATGCGGTCATCACTAGTTGACAGGAGCACCTACCTGCTTGATCTTGGTGAAGAAACCTGATTGGAGCACCTTCCAAAGATCACATCAACCTCCCTTTCTGACCACTGTACCGCTCGGCCCGCCTTTCTGTAAGCTGTCGGGATGGAGTAGGGCATTGTGGTCACTGGGGAGGCTGTGGGCTCTGCGATGAATTGAAGGAAGTAGTTGAAGAGAAAGTCGGTGTCCGTCGGGCCGCCACAAGCCTGCGCATGCAAGCGCACGCACGGGAAACCTGTGGCCCACGTGTCAATCAAAACTCTTGGCCCATTGATGCTCAATGTGTGCATGATGGTCAGTGACAAAAGGGTCTGCCAAATGCTCACTATGCTAGCTATTAGCTTGTCATGCTGGTGCCGCAGGCGGAGGCCTCCGGATGGAACTGCACAGAGAACCAAGGCTTGGAGGAATGAATGATCCCTTCATTGGTGCCATCATTGGCATTGACCATCAAAGGCACCCAGCTCTCAGGTAAGGTCCGCTGGTCCACCGCGAAGCCGTGATTCTGCGAGGTGATGTAGCAGCGCTGGGTGCGAAGGTCCACCACGGGTTGGTTCATCCCTCGGTTGCCAAACTTCATCTTGTAGGTCTTAGCTCCAGCGGCCAGGGCCAAAATCTGATTGCCCAGGCAAATGCCAAAGATTGGCGTGGAGGGCCGGTTCTTCATGATGTACCTGGCGGTGTCAATGTTTTTGGCTGTTCAGTTGTTGGGGCCTCAACCTGCATTCCGGCCGGCATCGTGAAAAAAATAAAGTCAAAAAAGAAAAGAAGAAACACCTTCGTCTTCGTGAGTTCAAAGACATGAAGAGTGCAGCATCTGCCCGTGCATTCCCGACCTTTCGATCATCTCGCCTGACATTCTCGACCGTCTTGGCACACTGGGTCGGGTCTCCAGGTCCGTTGCTCAGGAACAATCCGTCGAAGTCCTCCTGCGTGAAGTCGTAATCCCAAGGCACCACAGTGACACGAAGCCCCAGCTTGTTCACCAGGTACCTGCGCAACTTGTCAGTCATGAGTCATGCAGGCATTTTTGGGCATCTCCTGCGCCCAACAGGACAAATTCCACGAAAAGAAGCAGAAAGACACCAGCTTGAACGGATGAGATGATGAGATGGTGAATGTGCGATAGTACCTTGGAGAGGCAATACCATTGCAGGATCTTGGTGTCAGAACCACAAAATGGAGCAGCATTGATTGGCGTGCGTGTCAAGGCTTCTTTGGTTTGGGTGCCAACATAGAGCCAGGAAACAACGACGACTCCCCAATCCCAAGCCGAACGACTAACACCTAGTGCCAGTGTCGTTTGGAGGGCGAACCGTGCAAGAGGTGGGGTGGTCAATCAACCTCAAGCAACCTCCCGGCCATGAAAACACTGTGAAACTATACCTAGCACAAAGAATCACAAAGGTGTGCAGTGTGCAGCATGCATAAACTCGAATCTGTAAGCCTGCCAAACTTGCCCGCCCAAAAAAGAACTGCTGAAGCTAAATACTTAACAACACTGAAGGGTGGAATTGTGATGAGTCGTGAGCATCTCCCCATCAACCACCTTCCCCAACCTGATCGTGCTTAATGACCACACCTGATGATGTTGTTCTTGATGCCGCAATCCACCGCCAAAACATGGACAGGTCTCTTGAGGCGCTCGTTGGGCTGAGCCGGGGTAAAGACTTCTGGTGCCTTCCTCGAGACCTGCGAGCAGCTGATTAGGGCGGAGGCGAGGAGAGAGATGTTCAATTAGGGCGGAGAGAGGTTGTATGAAGGACGCACTCCTCGAAGCCGCCCAAGATTCCACTCCTCGACTCTACGGTGACATGATGCCAAGTAGTCCCTCCCAACCCCCCCGGCAAGTCATCCGCCTCTGCTGCCAAATTTCGGGTGTTGGGGTCATCCATGGCCAGCTCGGCTGAGGGTTTGCTCCCCTGCACCACCATTTTTCCAAGCATCGAACCGCTCATGCGGATCAGCTTGGTGACGGCCCTGGAGACCAAGAAACAAGAGGCGACGAGCGAGTGAGCGAGCATCAGCATGGCCCAGATAGATCGACTGATGCCTTTTTTTGTTCGTTGGCCACTCTTCCATGCAAATGGATCCTTTTTGTATACATGTATTTTATATTTAGTTATTTGTGCTTTTTCATGTGCCTACATCCGTTTCTGCATCAGGAACTCTACATCTTACGGAGGTTAGGCAAGCTTCTGCCAAGCGTGTAGTGCAGAACAAAAGAGAACTCACACAATCTGGTGAGTTATGCCGGTCCGAAGGTTCTTCCGCGGCGCTGTCCTTGTATCCACTCCATAGATACCAGGAACGCCCTGAGATGCCAACCATTCCCCCAAGGTCCGAATGCAGCTGTAGTGGGATGGCTCGTACGAGTAGTCAGAGATCACGACCCCCTTCAAATGGATCCTCGGCTCCGTTCCAACTATTATGGCTGCTGGTAGCTACAGCCTGTTGCTTACACTCTGACTAATGACCCAAAGCCATCTTCAGCGGTTCATGAACCAAGGTGCTTGTGACTTTCAAACCATCTGGGCAGGTTCAAGTCATCCTTCTCATCAGAAGGCACACCATAGTTTCCGATGAGTGGATAGGTGATCACCAGGATCTGCCCTGCATACGAAGGGTCTGTCAAGGACTCAGGGTATGCCACCATCCCGGTGTTGAACACCACCTCTCCAGACACAGAGGTGGTAGCACCAAAGGAGAAGCCTGCCAAGCGTATCGGCGCCGGCGCAAGTTACTGTGCACGAAGTGGTCAGGAACGCTATATTTGTTTTTATTTAGGAATGCAGGGTCCAAATCAAACCCTAGTAGCTTTCCTTGCTCCTAGTAGTAGGGCCAGGAGCCCCTAGTAGCGTCCTTGCTCCAACTCATCAACTCATGAATGGATGGGTTGAAACTTTCCCTTCGCGAGCCCATCCCGCCCATGCCGCCCGTGCCATGGTCGTCCGGCCTTGCAGTGTGGACCCGTTCACCAGCTCCAGGCTGCACCTCCTCCGCGTGTTCAGCCACCGCAGCAGGTCCGCTGGCTGTTCGGAGTTGGGTTTCACATCCATCGGCTCACACCCCTCGAAGCCAACGACGTCCCAACCTGGTACGGTGGAAACATAGCCACAAAAACGGTTTGGCTGTTGATTGCTCACTGACATACTGCTTGTTTGCATGGTGGTTCAGTTTCCCTTGTTCAGCAAGCGTATATAACTAAAGAATTGCAGGATGCCGCTCCTACTTTCTTTCTGACCTCCTTCTGGGTTGGCTAGCACAAGAGTCAACTCTATCTTCATGTCACTTTTGCAAGGCCTTTCACACAACGGAATACTGCACACCTGGCTTAAACCCGCTGCTCTGCACAGGCACCAAAGAGGTCAACATCGCCCTGCAAGTCACCCAGAGTGTCGAGCCAGGGCACCCATCTTTTCTGGACTGTCCGGCAAATCGCCCATAAAGAGTTCACCACCAACTGCTACTCTTGAGCCACGAACTTCGCGCCATTCTGTCATATTGAATTATATGATCATGTTGCAAGGATTGACAGGACCTACAAGACCTGCATGGGGATCGAAACTTTAGTCTAAGGCTTAGACGGGCAAAAGAAGTAAGACAGCTGAAAGGCGTTTCTAGGAGCTACACTGTACATGTACAGCATTCCATCCACCAAAAACCGTCATTGTCCTTCTTCCTCCGCTCCAACTCCCTCATGAACTTCTGCTGCTGCACCTTTGCTCGCCTTAGCAACTGGTGAAGTGTCATCCAATAAGCCCTCGAAAAGAAATGAAAAAGGAGAGCAAACTAACGATGCAATGACCGCCGCACAGTGTTGCTGCAACACTAGCAGTTGTGAAGTGTACCCTTTCATGTCCTTTTCTTTGCACCAAGGTACATCAGGCTGCTGAATGCTGTATATTCTGTCATGTGCAACAACATCCTTGGCAAACCGAGGACCAAGCCGCGTGGCTTCGGTTGCCGCGGCAAATGTTAAAAATACAGGAAGGCTTCTGGAAACGAAGTTCCGACTCAGCTAAGCAGTCACCGTCTGTGGGTTAAAAGCCTTGGTCAAGCTAGGGCTCTGCATCATGTCATCCACAGTCTGAGGCTTGAAGAGGGCCTTCATGAGTTCTTTCTCACCTGGACAAAATCAGCGAAGCAACGCAGCTTGGCATGACAAAACCAGAATCGTAGACGGATCAAAAGCAAAAACACGGCACCTTCTTCTAATGGAGGAGCCTCCGGTCCCAGCTTCATCTTCCGCTGCTGTTCCATGTGCATCAGGAAGGCCTCATGCAAACCGTTGATTCATGGGGAATTGGCATTGACGGCCGCGTATGTAGATCTATCAAGATCTACGAGCAAGCGGCTGCCGACAAAGGTTGCATTTGATCACTTCTTGGCTAAGGCTGAACCTGGTGCTGAAACCTCTCTGACTAAGTCCTGGCCTCCACTTGCTTCTCTGCTCTGGCCTGCCAAGAGCACACAAGCTCCGAAAGAGACTCTTTGGCATAGCTTGCCTATTTGGGTTTTTTGATGTTCTTGTCTGCTTGAATTGCCTTGCTTGGCGACGTGCCTTTGGGTTGAGACTCTCAGGTTTCCAGGCGAATTCCCCATATCAAGCCCCTAAATGCAAAGCCCAAGATGAGCCAATGGAGGAGGACAGTCACAGCTGTGACGAAACCCTTTCTCTCATTTCCTCTCCTTATCCTCCTGGATGGCATTCTGGAGCTCTGCCAAGAAGCCATTGCCATCGCCTGGATTGAACCTCAGATCGTCCAGACAGGGTCACCAGCATTCAGACAGGCGAGAAGAAACCCACTCAAAAGCAAGGGAACCAAAAAATGCACCGCCGAGAGACCCTTCCTGCAGCGCAAAGTCGGAGACATGCTGCTCGAGATTCCCCACGTACTCCCGGTACGCAGCATACCTCAGCAAGAAGTTCAGAACCCCCCGCCGAGGCACACCATCCGTTCTCAATCCCATTCCAAAACCTCTATCCAGGCTGTGAGCTTCAAACACCAACCAAGCGAGCACAGCATCCAGCTGCAGCCATAGGGAACAAAAACCGCTACCAAACAAAGACACATGTGATTCGCTTTTTGGGCATCACAACATTGAGGCCACCGGCAAGAAGCCCCTAGCTGGGTGTCTGGAGTCTTGCTCCCTGTGGCCCTGTGGGATCCTCACTCCAACAAAGGAAGCAGAACACCTATGATGAAAGTTGCCGGTGGCTTGGCAGAAGTGCTAATAGCTGTTTGCTCCTAGTAGTATGGCCAGGAGCCCCTAGTAGCATCCTTGCTCCGAGTAGTACGGAGGTATATGATATATGTCCTGGGTTGTCTGAAGTCGGGTCTTGTGTTGTGACTGAGCCCACTGGCTGCTCATGGGTCTCGCCCTGATGTAGCAGTTCTCGGTGGTCCTGGTCGAAGATCGGGAGGAACCTCAGCGCAAGAAACAAGGAGAAGTAAACCTCATACCGTATACCATGTGCCTTACTAGTAGTAACAAGAAGCTAGTAGAAACAAGTGCATTGCTACTAGTAACAAGTGCCTTACTAGTAGGAACAAGAAGCTACGCTCTTATCTGTGTCGCTAGATGTCGCGAAGCAGCTTTTGGAAGAGTGGATCCATATCCTCGTTCAGCGTCTTCATGGCCTGGGCTCTGGAGAAGCTCTTCACCCTGAACCTGCTAGAAATAGGCATCTTGTTGAACAGCAAAGAAAAGCTTCAGAAAAGCTCCATCATTTATATATGTTTGGATGGGCCTTGGCTGGCTGGTGCTTTGAAGATTTACACTTTCCCCGCGGCACTCTTTCAATTGACATTCTCTAAGGTGGGGTGACACTGTGACACAATTTCACCGGCTAAGGAAAGGGGGTGGCCTGACAGCCCAAAAGAACAAACGTACCCTTGCAGTTCAGCCCGTATGTGATTATTTCTCCTGGCCCACAATTGCCTTGGGGCACTGTCAAGGTACCAAAAGCACTCGGCTTCCTTCGAGCACTGCTTGCTGCAAGTGGCAAATGCGCAAAAGCGGTGCGCAAGGGTCTCTTGGGGCTCCTGAAAACAAAACAGAAAAGTTGCAATTCCACTGACGTCCTTCTACACTTCATGGGCAAGGCCCCACAAACACTCAATTGCCTTTCAGAGGCACATGTTTGTCCATGTTGGTCCTCTCCCACGGAGAACCCTGCGTGGTCGCTCCTCCTCATCTCCAGGCCCAGCCAGAGCGAAGAGCATGGCTCGGTTTTCACGTGAACGGGGCAGCGGACTCCAGGATCTCTGTCGGCGGACTCGTGTCTACGTGAGGTGTATGCTAAGCCGTAGCCGTCCACAGCATGAAGGGGTCACCTGTCTTGACAGAGAATGACAGAGATATGGGTCCGCACTTTGAGCCAATCTGCGCGTCAGCGGGCTGTCGGACTTTGTCATCACCATCATTCCTTCATGTATTGTCCGTTTTCTTGACACATGGAAGCTCGTGTGAGGCATCTCTGATATTAGCACTAACAATTGTATAGCGCCCAGCATTACCGTTAGTACATGTTGCTTTCTGAAGTGGCAGAGGCCTGCATGACTTGGCCTTGTTCGCGCAAGACCTGAGCTCTGCCCATGTACACCTGGCAGAGAAGGGGAACTCCATTTAGGAAGACCAACTCTCACAAGAAAGACGCTGTAATCACATGGGTCTCTCTTGATGACAGGTTTTCCATTGAAGTGAAGGTTCTGAGACTCCGCAGTCTCTTGGAAATTGCCCTGACTGTGACGGTGTTGAAAGCTGGACCGAAATTATATATACATTACATAGGATGGTTTCCAAGATCGGGTGCTTTCCTTCTTTGAGTCAAGGTGACTTCTGCACACATCACATGAGGCTTTTGGAAGCTGTTCATCTTTCTCTGGAACCGCCTGGATGTTGTCGGGCTCCAGGTGGGCCGCCATATTGAAGTCGCCAATGGCCTGGAGCCACGCCGTCGCTGCGGGTGGGCGATTCCTCCTTTCATCGCATCCCCACCTCCGGCAAGCGGCCCAAGCTCCGGAAAGCCGCCCCGCGGCCCGCCAATGCCAGAGCCTTCACTTGCGTCTGACAAAAGTCCTCTGAAGACTTCCAATTAGCAATCGGCCCACCATCTTCCAGCTTTACCCCCCATGTTCCTGGGACACCGGGCATTGTCCTCCAGCTTCAACGAGCCAGTGAAGTCTTGGATGGCCTGACCATAAGGATGGAGAGGCCACAAATCAACTGAACTGTGCGGGTCACTTGAACATGTGACGCCGGTGAATAGACCAAGACGCTTATTATATATACCTGAGAAAGGAGAGGACGAAAGCCAGCGAGAGACCAATATGGTAGCGCAAGACCGGGGGGAAAAAATAGCGGAGCACTTGTTGTTGAATGCCTGTAGCTTTCGTGGAGCTTGTATCAACGTGGAGCAGATCAAGATCGGAGCACAGCATGAAGTGTTGAGTCGTGTTTCAGTCTTTCACACGTGGCCACAGAGAGTTGCTGCTAAACGCCCCTTGCTTGCTCGCTATGAAACCTTAGAGCTGCAGCCTGCTAAAGCTTGTCCAGAAATGCCCCTGATCTGTGCATGCCCCTGATCTAAGCAAAACAATCAGACTCCGTGTAGAGATACATAATGAATGCCCGAAGGACATCCTTTCTGTTGCTGTGGTAAATGTTTTGGGCATCGTGTTGAACGCTTCCGCGTGTCCCGGCTTGAGTTCACCCTCGCCCAACTGGACATACTCACATCGTTCGCTCCCGGAGCGTTCACTCTTTGTTGCTTGGTCCTTCTTGGTATGATCAGAGCTACACAGTCCCTATGCCCTGCTCAGGGCTAGAAAAATTGTCTTTAGACCCCTTCATGATGCTAATGGTGCACTACTCGGCGTCATTTACATCTCTTGCATCCAAACCACTTGTTCGATGCCTTCCTGACCCTGCTTTTGAACGCTCTCCCCCACCAGGCTCAAGGTTCGACCTCCCAAAAGTGGCCTCTGCACGACCACCCCCCCCCACACCCCCTTTATTCACTTCGTTCACCCTAAAAACTCAATCCTTGCCTATCGGCTGGCTTTCGTGATATATATATATATATATATACAGCTTCTGCATTTCTGTGTTTCATGTCTGGCACTGGAAAGCCCCGGGCCACAGGTCGGCCACTGCTACTTCATGATTCGGCTGAGGGGAGGATCCCGACGCGCAGTGGTCGTGCCTTCTCATACTGTCCTAGCTTTCGATACTTCTCTGCTCGCTTCCGCAGCACAGATGCCTCAGCTGCCAGAGCTGGTTCCGCAGTTTCGGATGCCCCTGCTCTCCTTAGAGAATGTCTCCCAAGAAGTTGGAGTTCTACAGGGAAGGAGTGCCTTTAAAGGGTCCTAGACCGTGGACATCACCTTACAAGAATGTCCTGCTTTCGTTCTCAGATGCTTTGTGTGCCAAGCCACACTACTCCCCAACTCCAGCGACGCAGAGCACTCCTGCAAGGTTTGGAAGAAAGTGTCTCCGTGGAACTCAAGAAACTCATAAAAACCATCGCCAGCTCCCACTGTAGCTCTGGGTATTCAGTAGTGATAAGAGCTATGGCGATGGTTCCTCTGAACGCTCTTCCGGGAGCTCGGTTGCTGAAGGTGTTGGCAACTGCTTTGCATGGCCAAGCGACAATTTTAGCCAAGCAGCATCTACTTTGCCAAGCAGTCTGTTCCCAAACTTTTGCTATGCTCCACAGAACGCATTTCCACCAAGGCATGATGAAGTATATATTGCCAGCAGTGCGCCTTTGCCGAAGCACACTCAGACCATTTGAAGGAGGTAGGGCCATGAGACGCGGAGACCCTCGACAATTGGAACTGGATATGAATCATAAACAGAGGTTGGTTGATTCTTTTTTGCAGATTCTGTGCCTACTCTATGATTCTATGACGGTATTGGAATCCTGTTGCCAGGAGACCTCATCATTGGAGACCAGTCCGCCCTACGCCCCTAGAAATGATGAGAAGAGGCTCTGAAGAGGTCTCTGAAGTCAAATGATCTCCTCATACACAGCTCTTGGTCAGCGTCCTTCCATACCAAGTTCTGTTCTCAGTGTCCTATACTACACTTCTCCGGAGCTTTCTTTTCCTCTGTGCCTAATGCTTGATTGCACACGCTCGTCCAATCTCGCACCAAACCTTCTGTTGAGTTTTGATTGGCTGCTCAGCCCAGGTTGGCAAGCCCAGAGCCGAAAGCACAGCCTAAAGCAAAAGCAGGTGGGAAAGCAGCAAAGACTCACACCACAACAAAACCAATTGCTGAGGCAAAGAGCAGTGGACAGAAACAGCTCAAGAGGGACCCAAACGACATATAACCGCGTGCACATGCTGCAAAGCATGCAGGGTGTGACAAAGAACAGTGGAGAGCAATATGGTTCATGCGATGGTTGTGCCGATGTGGCTGGTTTGATTTTGGAGCTCTTGCATCTCAGCCTAAACAGCTCGAGGGGCTGTTGCTCAAGAAACTGCACACCAAGCTGGTCACGTTTTGATTGATGTTCGCCGGATCTAGGTTGAAAACCCACAGCAAGTCCTTGATGGAGAGTTCAAGCTCACGCTTGCCTGGCAAGAACTGCAGGCGCAAAACGATGGTGAAGACAGGCGGATCTTGAGGTTCTAGTGTGTCGCCGCAGCTGCGAAACCTTTCCCCAAAGCGATGGCCTCCAACCGAATAGCGATGGCCTCCAACCTTATTATAGGAATGACCTCCTCCCTAGTTTGCAAAGGACTTTCTCCAAATAATTCCGGCATCCCTGAAATCGCCAAGACTGTGAAAGCCACAGCAGTACCCAGACCCAGAGGTCTCAGCACGCGTCCAATCGAGCCAGCATCTCGTGCTCCATCTAAGGCCATCAGCCATCAAGGTGTCTATGGTTCAATGGCACATGTGATGCATCAGTGTCCCTGCGTATTCGATATAGCTCTGGCGTCACCCATGTCTTGTCTCATGCTGGAGTAATGCTGGATTGCCTGTGAGACTAGTCAGCTGGATTGCTTGGGTCGGTGCTTTGCATTCCAAACTTTGCCGAGTGGACCTGGTGCACCATGATGCTAACAAACAGTCTTCACTGGATCTGAAGTTCCAACCCAAACTCTGTGCGTGATTTGGAAGGTCGAAAAAAGTCAGTGTTTGGTCCAGAGTGAAGGTCAAGGATGGTGCATCTCAGCTTGAAAAACAAACATACACAAAGCAAAAAAAGGAAAAGGAACAACAAACAACTAAAAGACACAACTCCGCGGAAAAAAGAAAAGAACAAGAATTTGATACGATCTTTCCCCAACTGTTCTTCACGCTGGACTGGTTCCCAAATCTGTGGTGTGTGCTCAATTCTTTTGGTGTTCTTTGGGGGGTCTAGTCTACGTGTGTATCACCAGCAACTTTCTGCGTGGCAAGTGTACATTTCTAATGTATGGTTCGCAGCTATCATCTGTTGATTTTGCCTTCCCTTGCTTTGGCCTCATCAGCATGTCACACAACATAACACCCTATCACAAGCACTGCGGAAATTAAACTAACTACAATGAATATGAACCCAACAAATGTGATCGAAGGCAAGAATACTACACTACATATTAAAGTCAGAATGAAGCTGAAAGCGCAAAATACACACGAAAACTCAAAATTGGTTGACCACTTTATGATGAACAAAGTGTAAAGATATGAATGAGGCAGCCTTCTACTAAATCACCTTTTGGGGTGGGGTTCACTCGAAGTATATATATATATATAAGTAGCTTTGTGTATAGGTTGGTCTAGCTGGAGTTGATCTTTCAGGTGTTGATGTCATAGCATTTGGTGTAGTTTGCCACTTGTTGAAGGATGAAGTTTGTGGATCAAAACACGCATAACGAATCATAATGGCATCAAGAAACAACAACACAATTAACAGTTCAGGAAGTTGGGGAAATAACCAATCCTATTGGTTATGAACTTCACGCCAGCCATGTCACTGACAGCATCCTTTATATAACACAATAAATAAGTTGAAACAATGCACATGTGCATACATGTGCCGCACACACGCACAAGAAAATAAAGACAAGTTGACAAGCAACATAAAGACTGACACTTTTGAAGATCGACCTATCGTATAGGGGAATAAGAAAGAGGTTCGGCTGCCAATCCATCTAAATATCTGTCTGTTTCTCCAACCTCGCACATTCTCTGACCCAAAACACATCATCTCACACCAAATCCCCGAAGATGCTCCCAAAGAACAATAGAACCCTCCGGCAGCAGGGCGCCCAGGCGGTCTCTTTGACTTGTAGCTAGCTGCTGTAGCAAGTGGGCGAGGAAGACTTTGCCAGGCCCTGCTCCGTGAATGAAGCATTGCACCGCGCCGGTGCGATGGTTCCGGATGACGTTCCTCAGCGATAGCTGACGGTTCCACAGAACCTGTCTGGACCATTCAACCTTTAACAGCCAAGATCAAGATGCAGCCTCTTCACCTACAGTCTCCCCCGAAAAAATAGAAGTGCAGAGATCATGAAGAAAACAAAGCCAACAAAGCTGAGGATCTCTTGAATGCTGAAGACTTCCGCTATGGCTGTCTCTGGGATGTTTCCCACCGTCAGAACTAGTGACCCAGAGTAGTCTAAGGTCATCTTGGTCACCTGCTGTGTCTGCAGAAAAGTAGTTCCTCAGGCAATTGTGCTCGCTCAGATTTCGCTCAAGTGCCCTGTGACATCCTTCACAAAGGCTGCACTAGCTCAAACCTCCCAAGTAAAACTGCGATCCTGTGGCATGCAGGTGCCAAGTCCTAGCAATAACAAGTCTCTTCTATCAATGAAACGGGCACCATTCATATCTAGTTGCGTGCAACCAACTGGTCCGTCTCAGAGTTGTTCCAGTAAAGCTTCAGCCATTGTTCCACTACGTGTGACCTTGAAGTGCAACAAGGAGCACGGACATTGACTAGGACTAGGAGCAAGGACGCTACTAGGGGCTGTGGCCCCAACGAGTCGGAACACAAGAAGAACCGTTTCTTGTGGCACAAAAGGAACCGTGTTGTCTTTTATCCAGGGCACACGTCCTTGGCCAAGCCCATCAGGAATCCACTGTTGAGGTGCTCATAGGCCGGGGGAGCGGAGCAAAACGAATCATAGCCTCTCAAGGGCACACAAGCCGCAAGGCGGCCGCAAGGAGCAAATGAAGGTCACATCAAATGTAACGAGGGTCCTGATCCTCTAGACTCTAGATCAAAGCTCAGCTAGACTCTACCTGACCTTGGGGTGTCCATTGACCGCCCCTCATACCAAAGGCGTGGGGCAGTTTCAGCTGAGCAGAACAAACCCCAGGTCTCTGCCTGGGATGTCCAAATCACGGCACCGACGGCAGTCTCCGAGCCCCTCCTGGGATGTCCAGGAAGGAGGATGCGGACCCAGTCATTTTGACACAAGGCAAAGTCATGGCCGGGTGGCCAGGTTTGGAGTGCAGTCGTGGTCGCTAGTCCCGGCCGAGGTGCGTACCCCTCTTTCAGCCCAAACTGCTTGAGGACAGACCAACGTTGCGGCGCCAGTGTCTTGGACCTGAGGGATGCTTCGCGTGGAGGTTTTAAAATTGGACTTCATTCTCAATATAAATTATCTGACTAACCCAGCTTTGCAACCCAACAGCACATGGCAACTCAATGGACTGGGACTTTTCAGGCATTCCAACTATGTCTTGCTAAAGCTCCCAAGCGGAATCCAATTTGTGACGTGCAAAGGGAGCTGGGGAGGAACGGGAGCAGGAACTGGGGTCCAGGAGCTGAAGAGGGAGCAGGAAGAAGGAAAGCGCATCAAAACTGCAAAAACGTGGTTCCTCGCGCCAAATCTTGTTTTTGGGTAGACACAAACACCCGCCGTGCTTGTGACCGGAAGTAGCATGGGGTTAGGGAACCCGGCTCCTTACTTCCTTCATGAGCACAGCCTAGTCGCAACGGAGACAGGAAGCATACCATAAGTTCAACAGCGCAAACACGTCCTGCTACGTATGTGCAACTGCCGTGGCCTTGCTGCGCATAAAACATGTGTTGTGCAGCGTCGACGGAATGCCTCGCAACAGAAACACATGGCACACCACCAGTGCCAGTTGTGATCCCAGAAACGTCCTGCTAGGCACGCGCAACTACGTCCTTGATGCGCGTGCAACATGTTTCGCGCAACGACTGCTTCGCAGCGCCGTGGACAAACTGCGCACCACTCCCAGTCCCAGGGATTAAATCCCAACTACATTCTGCTGTTGGGAATTATACAGTGCAGCGGGAAATGTGTCTGAATTTGGTGACGCGGGTTTACACGGGTTTACGCGGGCTTACGCGGGTTTACGGGTTTACGCGGGTTTACGCGGGTTTACAGGTTTGCTGGGTTTAGAGATGTTTACGATTTGCAGTGTGTAGTCGTTCTATCATTCTTCAAAAGGCACCAATCACCGGCTGGATTTACATGCAAACATGTGCGCTGATGGCTTGCACTGAGCACCACTTGGTTTGGCACCATGGTGATGCTGAAAATGCGGGTGTCCTTTTTGAACACTTTTCAGGACAAAAACATGGAATCACATGCTCTTTCGCGGTCAAAAAGTGTGGCAAATACCCCTCAACTGCACCAGTGTTGAACATCCCGAAACCAATGATGTTCTTTGAAAGAAAAAGCTGATTTTATCATAGCTCTGATGCCCCAGGCAACTGTCCCGCCAAGGGAAGCAACAGTTCTCCGCACCCCAAACCACAGAAGCATCACTGGCGGACACAGTCATGTTGAAGGCGCTCAAAAGCCTAGGAGAGGCTGCGAAGTACGATGCTGGTGACAAAAATCCACCGTCGTCCCGGTCAGCTGGACATACTGCTGCCTTATTCAGTCTTTTTGACTGAGCATACCTGAGTTTCCAAAATACCATACTTCGCCAATGTGCTACTTTACACATCCCTTTTTAGCATTCCCGAATCAGGAATGGTCGGGGTCGGAGCGTTCCCCACTTTAGTTATGATCGGATTCGGCGGCTGTGTCTATGTCTGTGAAGTCTATGAACAATAAGAAAAACTTGACTATTCCTATATTTCCCGTTCTCAGGGGCTCCTCCTCAGAGCAGCCACCAAAGATCGTGTCAAAGCCATCCACCAGGGCCACCTGATTTCGGCCGTCCGGTGCCAGGTCAGGTGGGTGTTTTCACACTGCCCACCCAAGCAAAGGGCAACCAACTGGACCATGGGAAACCAACTGGACCAAAGCTTCACCCCTGTCATCCATTGTCATTCACCATCCATGCATTCGATGGGCGTCTCGCATTCAAAGTTGGGTGGTGCAAGGTATGGTTGCCCGGCAATATTACTTTATCATTACCAAAGTGCGCCACTGGAGTCGCAATCAAGTAGCAAACCGTTCAGGATGTTTGGCCGCAAAAGCGTTGAGAAACTTGTGATACCTCAGATTGTGGCAAAAGCATCGCATCACAATAATAATCAATGTGCATGTATATATATATATATATCATCGTATATTGTGTCCATTGGGCTTTTGGCATTCTCTACAAACCATCCTAGGCACAGTCGAGGCTTGTCACGCCAGGAAAACCAATCCTCTCCAAATCCAGCATTGATTACAGGCAGCCGTCCAGCACCCAGCATGATGAACCGTCGCGGCTTGTTGGTGTCTACCTTAGCAATTCATGTCCCAACCATGAGACAACATGCGGTGGCACCAATTCTTTCAGAAACCGGCAAGCCAATATAAATAGAAACAACACGCCCCTCCTCAAAAGCTCCGTGCTGAGATGCTGTAACCACTGTCACGCGGCCAGGGGCCGGAGGCTTTTTGCGAAATTGCCTTTCCCAGGCATCTCTCAAAAAGTCCTCAGCCTCCTCATTCTGCTCCTCGGCATGGCTTCACTGATTGTCATAGTCATAGCCTATGTGGTGGTTTGCACGGTCTCCTAAAGAATAAACGTGAATACATCTACAACTTGACTGCGGCTTGTCTTCAATACATTCACTTCAGTCACACATTTTTATAGTCCGACTCAATCTGGATTGGAGAAGACTGAGTGTCTCCTCTACGGTCCGCAAGAAGCTACGTAGTTCTGCTTCATCCTCTGGCAGGCTCTTGTGCCACCGGTGTGAGATCCACAATAGCGGGGGCAGCAAGCATCCAAAAGCAAACGCCCTGGACCACATGCCATGAACCAAATGGCTTACTTGAGCCTTAAAATCCTTGCAGAAGCCATGACAGTGCCTTTGCAGGTCTGCAAACCTGTGGCAGCAAGCAGAAAACAGCATACGCCTCAGCACCAAAAATGAGTACACACTGCAACAAGTACTGCATTTAGGAGAAACTCCGTTTGAACCATCACCCCCACCCTACCACCCAAAAGTAGCACCGCAATGTTTTCCCAAGTCTTTGGCGTAGAACTTCCAATGAGATAAAGTGCAGTGCAGGGGGCGTGTCCAACCAAGACAAGTCCCCCAAACTGCCCAAATAAAAGGAGCTGCCAGGCACCAAAAGACATCATCCTCCTCTCCACTGCACAGTTAGTCACATCGTCACATGCGGATCCATACACCACCAATATTTCGTGACTCACTTTGCCCAGCCATACACAAATTGCCCTTCCCCGACTGCAGCTTTTCCTTCTCCACTGGCAGCCATCCAGAGAGGCCCCTTTGTCCTGGGCTCAACCCCATGTCTGCCAACTGCGCGAAGGCACGTGTCGGGCCACCAAACTCGTCTGTGTGTGTGCCTAGAGTAGGATAGTGCTGTGATTTATTCGTGGGACACTCTAGCACCCTTCCAATGTCCAAAAAAGAACAGATGGGCAAGCGTGAATTCTGAGAATTCGAGATGCGGGAGTCTCACTCTGACATCTCTTATGTTACGTAGTGATTCATCGGGTGCAACTCAGGGAATGAGAAACCATGATCACCGTGGATGGTCAGGCTGTTGTCATCCTGAGGGCACTCGAAGCTGGGATTCATCACACTCAGCGCGCTGTTTTGATTCATCACACTCAGCAGCATCTCAGCCCTCTCAGTTCTGAGCTCTCTCAAGCGGCTGGAGCCCGCGCTCCAAACCTGGGAGGGAAGGGTGCAAGAAAACGTCTTGGGCTCAGATAGGGTTTATCCAGGCATTAAAATTTAGATAGAATTAATTAGGTTCATTTATATATATATATATAGAGATTGATGGATTCATAGGGAGTTTGAGTTTGTGCCTTGTGTGTTTGGCTGCTCTAAGGCAAGCCCCAAGGCCTGTGAGCCAGGCTGCAGAGAAACAGAAAATGGAGTGAAGAAAATGTGAAGCATGCACAACAGAACAAAGTATCAGCTACCCATAATTGCAACTCCAATCGTGGCTGGTCCATGAAACGTTATTCAAAAAAGAAGTCCGGCCCAGCGGAATGAAAAGGTCTACCCCCACCTCCGCGCCAGCCCAGAAGTCCAAGAAGCCTCAGATGGAGCCCAGATGGCTTTTTTTAAGGACATCCATCCTTCATCAGCCCTTCTGGGACAGTGATTTGCTTCCACAAATGCCACACAACACCATGAGGCCATGCTGAAGATTAAAAAACACTGCCCTTGATTCCTTGATGTTCTTGGAGTCCACCGGAACAACACTTCAGGCATGGTTGGGTGCAGCTCAGGCCAGCAATCTTCAGGCAAGCCACGGTGCACCCAAGGCACCTGATGGAAATCAGCTTTAGATGGGGCATCAGGCGTAGGAGTTTGCAAACATGCAGTCGTACACAGACCTAAGGACCTAGGGCAGCACCAGTCCTCTTCACATGTCCAGTTATTGGCAGGGAAGAGCCAAATCTAGCAGACTTCCAGGCCACTTCTCAAAGCATGTTCAACTTCCTCCTCTTCCGTCTTGCAGGACGGAGGACCCCGAGTCACTGAAGCTCCACGACCCTAATTGTATACTGCAAACTGTATAGTTGTTACTACTAGTAAGGCACTTGTTCCTACTAGCGTGGCACCTGTTCCTACTAGCGTGGCACTTGTTTCTAATAGCCTTTTGTTACTACTAGTAGTAAGGCACTTGCTCCTAGTAGCGATGCACTTGTTTCTACTAGCTTCTTCTTATATAATATAGGCACCTTTGACCGCACAACTCCGCGGACCGCACGACCTCGTGGAACATGACCGGCAAGTGAACCGCCTTGATACGGTCTTCGCAACCAACTCCTCAGATCTCCGCAACGCAACGCTTTATATGGCTGTGATTTCCACAAGGGGAAACGGAAAGGAAAAGGAGCTGAGCAAGCGCAAACATGTTCATACTTGAAGGACCTAACGAAACAAACGAAATGCAGAAAAACAAAAGGCTGTCACTGCCCAGTTGCGCTGCGCAAATTCGTCCACGATCTGTGCGTCGCGGGTTAGGCGGAAGTGCTTGCGGAAAATGTCGACGGCTGGCCTTTGATCGTCGTGGGTCAGGAAATCAAAAGCACTACACTAGTATTCTTAATGTTTCTACTAGCTTCTTGTTACTACTAGTAAGGCACTGGTTACTAGAAGCGATGCACTTGTTACTAGTGGCGAACATTGTTTCTAGTATATACATGGAAATCTATGTAAATCCCCCAAAGCAGGTTTCGATAGTGAAAGCTCTTTTGTTCAGGGGCAGATTCATATAGTATAATTACACCACCGTAGACCCCAAACAGTTTGTGTTTTTTCAAAATCGGAACACTCTGCAAATAGAGCTTGCGACGTCCAAAGCTGGGAGACAAATGTAAAATTAAGGATTGCAAGGCAGAGGCGGACACAGCAGCCCAGCGCTGGGAGACAAATGTAAAGGATTGCAAGGCAGAGGCGGACACAGCAGCTAGAGCTGGGAGACAAATGTAAAGGATTGCAAGGCAGAGGCAGACACAGCAGTCCAGAGCTGGGAGACAAATGTAGACACAGGGAGACAAATGTAAAGGATTGCAAGCGACACGCAGCCCAGAGCTGGGAGACAAATGTAAAGGGTTGCAGGGCAGAGCAGCTGGAAGACAAATGTGAAGGGTTGCAAGCGAGAGGGGGGGAGAGGAGGCACATGTAAAGGAAAGAAGGAAGACAAGGCGGACACAATGACCAACAAAGAGAGACAAAAGGAAACAGAAGGGAGACAAGACGGACACAGTGTCCAACAAGAAGGGAGACAAGACGGGAGACAAAGGGAGATAGAAGGGAGACAAGGCGGACACAATGAGCAACAAGAAGGGAGACAAAAGGAAACAGAAGAGAGACAAGACTGGAGACAAAGGGAGACAGAAGGGACGAGGCGGACACAATGACCAACAAGAGGGAGACAAAAAGGAGACAAAAGAAAACAGAAGGGAGACAAGACGGACACAACGATCAACAAGAAGGGAGACAAGAAGGGAGACAAAAGGAAACAGAAGGGAGACAAGACGGACACAATGACCCAGGAAGGGAAACAAGACCGGAGACAAAGAAAGAATGGAGACGTGACCAACAAGAAGGGGGACAAGAAGGAAGACAAAAGGAAACAGAAGGGAGACAAGGCGGACACAGTGACCAACAAGAAGGGGGACACAGTGACCAACAAGAAGGGAGACCAAGGGAGACAAGCCGGACGGAAGGCGGACACGCTGTCCGGCAACAAGGCGGACACTCAGAGAAAGCATTTAGAACCCCTAACAAACCTGCTCGGGTAAGTACAGAAATCACCTGGGAGACAAATGAATGGAAATGCTGGAGAAGGGAAAAGGGCGGATGCCAGCAGTGCAGGCACCGAACCTGGAAAACAAAACAAACGAGTAGAAATGCTGCGTGGCCAGCGGAAAAGGGCGGACACCAGCAGTGCAGGCACCGAACTTGGAAGACAACAGACCATGCATAGGAGTGCTACATGGCCAGCGGAAAAGGGCGGACACCAGCAGTGACACAAAGGGTGGACACATCTTAAGAAAGGATTGAGAACCCCTAACAGTGAATTGTTTGGGGAAAAATGTATCATAGGTGTTCGGTGGTGAACAATGTCCTCGGCCCATTCTATTTTCTCCTATACAGTCTTTATACGTTTATACAGTAAATACATAAATAAAAATATATACATACATTATGTGACATTACATTACATTACATTCCCTTGCATTACAAGGAAATCGCACTCAACACACTTGTGTGTTGGTGCCTTTCCTTCTGTTTCTCCTGTCCTACTGCTAGCTACCCGGGCGGTTTAAGACAAAAGTCCCGCTCGCTAACTACTTTCGTTTAATTAAGTGGGCCTCGTCACTACACCTATCTTTCTTTCTTGCCCTCTTAGTCTGCTTTTGTTTTGGTTTCTTTGTCTGTCTTTCTACGGCTTTTTAGGTGGCTAGAAGTTTTCCGCAGCGCCAATATTGGCGCTATGTGTACAAAGCTATGAGTAAAACAGTTGCGTACAAAGAGCGCACCGACTACGGCCTTGTGTTTGTGTATGTATCCATCCATGTGCTTAAGGCTTTGAGTCACAAACGACGCTACTAAGGGCTTCTGGCATCGCTACTAGGAGCCAGGACGGTACTACTAGGGGCCTCTGGCCGTTCTACGGGGAGTAAGGACGCTACTGGGGGCTCCTGGCCTCGCTACTAGTTTGCAAGCAGGGGAGAGCGCGCCAAGTACGGCTTCGTGTGTGTGCGTCCACACCTGCGCCTAAGGTCTTGAGTCACAAAGGAGGCTACTAGGGGCCCCTGGCTTCGCTACTTAAGGGCTCCTGGTATCGCTGTTAGCGTGCAGTTTGTCAATTTTTCCACACGTTCGCAGCGCGAGCAAAAAGAGGCAGGGGGCAGTAGCCCACTCATGAGTCTACTGCCAACGAAGCTACTCATGAGTTGGGAGGATGTCGGAGCTGATCACTCCGACGTACCTGCTGACAATTTTTAAGCCGCTTCTTAGCATACCAAGAGTTGCCAAACATTGCTCAAACATCTCCAATTCCGCGGACTTTTTCACCCTTCGGTTTGCACCTTCTTTTCCAGTCAAGGTCTACAATGCAGCGGGTAATGTGATCATCTAGAGTGGGACTTCATACTGATCCTAGCTCTTGCGAGCAACAATCTAAGTGTATCTGTGCATATACACACATATACTACCGAAACTGTCCGAAACGTGACCGTGGCATGACAACGAACTATTACTCCCACATGTCGCGTGCCCCTCGAAGCCCCTCAGCCAAGCGTCTTTGGGTCTGCAAAGCTACCAGTCAAGTTCAGCATCTCTGGATCTGCATCCAAAGCCACACGGATGTAGCCAGCCAAGTCTTCCAAATAGCTCGGGCACTTCACCCTCAAAGTTGTGAAGTCCTGTGCTGCAGGCTGGCCAAGGTGATTGGATTGAAGACTTCCGACAATTCTGCAGAACTCGTTCGCAGGCAAAATTCTCAAAGTTTAATGTGACTTAATTCTGGGCGTGCAGAACCCCCTTGCGCAACAGTCCGACAGGCCAGGGAAGACGGAGTCACCTCCAGCATGGCGGAGCTGCGGGGGCATGAAACAAACACACACACACACACACCGGTCACCAGCCATTCATCCACAAAAGAAATCCTCCTTGGGGGTTCCTTCGGCATCTGCAGTTGCCTTCATGGAATTCACGGATTTGATTCCTAGGCATTGCCACTATGTTGCCGTCTGCTGTGGAACCTTGTTGCGACTTATGAAAGAAAAAGGTCCAAAAACGAGATTTCAGCACTCCAAGTCACTCCACACAGGATCGGCCGGCAGGCGCCATAGGGTGTCAGAAGATGCCCAAAGGCTCCCAGTTCCAGTGGATGGAAGCCACACAGCCCAGGGCATGTAGGTCCAATGGTGAGGTATCTCATGATAGATCCATCCTCGCATGTGTATATAGAACAAATCGTAACATCTCACAGGACTCTCCTCCAACACCATTCAGAATGGCCTTTTGAGCCTCTTCTTCTCAACTGCAACACGCTGCAACCAACTTGTCCGTGATGCCTAGGTACCAAGTGCCCGTCCACACTATCACCTGATCAAGCTGCGATTCTGCGCATGATGCAGCAGCCACACCATTCCAAGGCCTTCGCCCAGCCCGCAGAAGCTCCGCCCTTGCTCTGCGTAGCCTGCACGATGGCAGGCCCTGCGCCCATCCCAACATCTCCCCAAAGACCCAACATGACTTGCAGTTTGTCCTTATATAATGTTGGTGCCATCTCTGAACTCTACAATTCTACCCATCAACCACTTCCTCCAGGCCTCTGTGCACAGCATCCGTGACGAGCTCTGCCCAGCTGCGCCAACTCGAGCGCCTTGCGCTCCGCAAGCGCTTCAAGGAGAAGACCTGCATTGGCAAAGCCAAGACCTGATCATCGGCCACTGCCATGAAGTCATCCTCGTGACTCACTGTGACTCAAAAAGACCGGGTCGTTCATACCGAGTCACAGCCTGCGAAGCGGTCGCACAATTGGTCGGGGTGTCTGCTTGCAAAGATTGGTCTGGGGAGCTGGGCTACCAAGGTGATTGACCACCTCTGACGATTGCATTCGGGGCGTTCAGGTTGAGAGATTCTGGTCCACTACCTGACTGGGAGTACCACACTTCCGCGGTGCAGTCCTCATCGAAGTTTTCCACATGCTGCGCCAACTCAGCAGGATCTGCTAAGAACACAAAGTCTCCTGAGACAGACACAGCTGAGCAATAGAGTCCAATAGAGAAGGTTGGAAAAGAAGCATCACAGCTGAGCTGGCGTCACCCTTCTGCAAATACTAACGCCACCGTCCTGCATCCACCCAAATTAAAGCATCGTCGGCCTCTGAAGAAGGCACCACCAGGTGCGGGAACATCCGCAGCCACCCTGGTGGTACGTCGCACTGTTTGTGTCGGACAAGAATGAGCATTGTTTGGTGTCGGTGCATAGACAATTCCATCAGCCTGCGCTACCATAATGGCCAGAGAATTGCAAACAATCCTCTGGCACTAGTGCATGGATCTCGCGCCATGCATCCTGGAGACCCTCCTGCTGGTAGAAGCGAAATGAGCCTGCAAATGGCTGTCAGTTCACGGGCTCACTAAAAACAGAACACGTATGCCTCAAAAATATATATACACAAACAACAACATGACTCGACCTCTACCTAATTAGATCCAAAGAAGGAAAGGATTAACCAAAACCACCTCGGTGGAGGGAGCACCTCTCCTGTCCATTGAGAGGTAACACCCCTCCAGCTCATCCAATCTCCAACCGCCACGCCTTTCTCGCGCAACCAGGGTTCCAAGCTGTCCAGCGCGCGCTGCACGTCACGCTGGCCGAGGGCATCAACCACCAGGTGGAAACGCAGCGGCCGCGAGGCAAAGAAGAGCGCCGAGCGGATGCCGGCCAAGGCCTTCTGTCCGAAGGAGGGGAAGCCCACAGAGGCCACCTGCACCCACGGTGCTTGGAGCATTTCCAAGCGGCTCAAAGATGTCAAAGAGCTGCACGAGGGGCTCAAGGACGGCCATTAAGTAGCAGTAGAACAAAATGTTTTCATGTGTATGTGTATGTGTGTGTATATATATATATGTGTGTGTGTGTGTGTGAAGCCCTGTTTCTAAGGGTCCTCCCCTTTCGTCTTTTGGTTTTGTTTTAGAGCAGGGGATGGAGACACCTGTATTGCTTCTCCATCAACGAAGCTGGCAATACATGGTGAGGATATCAGTTCCGGACGCGGAACTGACGTACCTGCTTTGAACACACCGACTCCAATGATCCACCCTGCTGCTGTTCGTTGGTTCCATGGTTGTTCTCATGATAGACCCCAAAACCTTTTCCCACCGCAGACCTGCAGCAGACTTGCAGCCGCGCTGAGTGTCCGATCTTTTTCGAGTGC